CTCTCTCTCTCTCTCTCTCTCTCTCTCTCTCTCTCTCTCTCTGGAACTGGCTCTCCTGATCTGGGTGTCTTTTGGCAGGCCAGTTGCCACGGTGATGTGAATGTTCAATACCACCCCCTTAACCCTCCCCCCCAAAGAATAAGGCATATTTTCCCTTCCTCCCTGGCTTCTCAGCATTTGCCGTTGCCGTGGAGACAGCACTGCAGTGTGCAGAGAGCTCTCGAAGTCTCCCTCAAAAATGAAGGTCTTGCCGCCTTCAACTTTGAGGCCTTTCTCCTGAGTGGCCTTCTCCCTCGGTCCCCAAGAGAACGGGGCACCAGGGCGATGTAAGGAGAGGTAGAGACCTTGCTTCTGCAGGAAAATGGCAGCCGGGACATGGAGCCCCTGTGTCCCCGAGAAGGGCCCTCCCCAGGAGGAAGAGAAGGCCCTCCCAGGAGTAGGATTCTGGGAGAATGTCAAGATGGGGTGTGGCCCTCAGGTTGACCCTTGGCTCTCCATCTGTATCGCCCTTCTCAGGACGTCCCCACCAAGCTGGTGGCCAAGGCGGTGCCACTGCCCATGACAGTGAGAGGCCACTGGTTTCTGAGCCCCCGCACAGAATACAGCGTGGCGGTGCAGACGGCGGTGAAGCAGAGCGATGGGGAGTACCTGGTGTCCGGCTGGAGCGAGACGGTGGAGTTCTGTACAGGGGGTGAGGCTGTGCGGTCACATCGCTGCCCTGCTTCCTTGGCACATCTGGCTCAGTGGTGGTCAGGAGGGGGGTCTTCATCCAGAAAACACTTGCAAATGCCTGCTGTGCCCTGGGCACTAGGCTGCAGGGTCCTCCCCTGCCCTTACAGAGCCTGTCTTTTCTCTAATGAGAGACAGGCGTCCCCACATTCCTGTAGGCAATGCCACCTCCGTAAAGGGATGGAATTACTTTTCTGGCTTGAACGCAGCCTAGTTTTTTTTTTAAAAAAAATCATAAAACACACGTAGCAGAAAGTCTGCCATCTTAACCCTTTTGAAGTGTGCCATGCAATCGTGTCAAGTATATCCCATGTTGTGCAAGCCTTCTCCAGAAGCTTTCCATCTTGCAAAACCGAAACTCTACAGCCATTAACAGTCACTCCCCGTTCCCCTCCCGCAGCCCTGGCAACCGCCATTCTCCATTCTCCCGCTATGGTGTTTGACTCCTCTAGGTGCCCCAGATAAGTGGAATCATCCAGGATTTTTTCACCTGAGACTGGCTTGTTTCTCTTAGTGGGATCTTCTCTAGGTACACAGAGGCTGTAGGGTGTCATCGCTTGCTTCTTCCTTAAGGCTGGTTGACGTTCCATTGCATGGATAGACCACATTTTGTTTATCAATGATCCATCAATGGTCACTTAGTGGGACAATCACATTTTTCTTTTTCTGAATTTCCCCTAAGCCTATTAAAATGGTCCCTGCAAGCTCTCTTAGTAGAGCCTACCTTGCATATTCCAGCATAAACCAACTCTGGGCTTGTGTGTGCTTGGCCACCGATGACCCAAGATCTGCCCCAAAATATTTCATCCCTTTGGTGCCCATGTGAGAACTGCTCCAGATTGCACTCCTATCACAAGGAAGGGTCAGGGAACATTCTCTGCCCTGGGGCCTCCAAGGCTGCTGGCTCCATCCTCTGCCAAGGTCTATGCCCCAAGTCTCCTTGAGCCACTGCAAACCTACTCTAGGGAGGTGCTCCTTCTCAGAAATGCACATGCATGGGCGTTTGGTTCAAACTGGGGAGTTGGAGATGGCTGCAGTCCAGTCCACCTTTCTCTTGCCAACCAAGTGCCCTGACCAGTAATGCATCAGCAATGAGGAAAGGGCACCTTTTTCTAATTAGTACCAAGACACTGTCCAGCCTGGCAGCAGCCTGACTGTGCCCCAGAGCCCCAGGCCCAAACCCAAGGTTCAATTATCCTCTCCTGGTGCCAGTTCCTCATTCTCCTGAAAGACTCAAGCAGACAGCCAGTGTCCTAGCCTCTGTTCTGCCTAAACATTCTGTTTATGGAGCCTGGGCTTACTTTTCCAATTCTTCACGCCCACCTGTCATCATAATGGCTTTCACACGGGTGGTGGAGATAGCCTCTCGCCCACCTGCTGGATTTGGGGGGCCCTGCACAAGGGACCTTGCCTTCCTCCCTCTTTTGCCTGTTGGTCCTCCTTTCACGTGGGCATGGCCTGGGAGGAAAGCCCCTAAGGCCCCTAGCATGATAACAGGGCATCCTGCCTTTTCTGGGCTGAGGGAACCCTGAGCCTCCGGTAGCGAGGACACAGAGGTGACAAGGATAGACAGCATGCAGCTCTCCACACTCCCAGTTGCAGCCAGCTGGCTTGTTTCCATCTGAGCCCAAGCTGCTGCTGGGGCCTGTCTAGTCCCCTTGCTGCTCCAGGAGATAGAGGTTGACTGGTGAGCATGCTGGGGGTTGGGCCAGCGTGGGGGGAGAGGAAGAGGCGGTGACCCTGCAGCTGGCCCTCGGCTCACCTCGCCCAAACGGGACTGTTACAGATTATGCCAAGGAGCACCTGGCCCAGCTGCAGGAGAAGGCTGAGCAGATCGCTGGCCGTATGCTCCGCTTTTCTGTCTTCTACCGCAATCATCACAAGGAGTACTTCCAGCATGCCAGGTAGGGTGGCTCTGGCCCCCACAGGCCTCTCCTTCCTCCTCCAGCTCCTCTGCCTGCTGCCCTGACTGTCCAGGTCATCTGAGGCTGCTAGAGCCTCTTCCAGGGCCCCCTGCCCTCATATCACAGAAGTGACTGCTACTTTGGGATTGGATTCAGGGAAGGTCGAGGACTCTGGGACGGGGCCACCTGGCAGAGCACCATGCTAACAAGCCCGGGTGATGAGGTCTGGCTTTGATTTCCACTCTGGGACAGTTCCTTCACTGGGGTCTACCACCATAGGTCACCATAGGTCTATCCAATTCAGGGCCTGGGATCACAGAGGAGGTGACGAGGACGATGCAAAATGAAAAAGACCTGAGCGTGGAGGGCTCTGGGGAGAGTCCAGCTGGCTGGTGAAGCTGGGTGCTAAGGAGTCAGGGAAGCTCCTTGGGAAATCCTAGGGTGCTGCTGAGGGGCTGGTTATGGGGAATCAGGAGGTGGGGCTTAGTAGGCCCTAAACCTGTTGTCCAGCAGAGCAGCCTCAATTTTATGTGCCTATGACCCATCTATGTATACTTTTCTTTGGGGAAAAAAAGAGGGGTTCTGTAGTCCAAAAGTGTTTGGTCCAATTGATGGTCCAATCCAATACCCTCAATGTACAGATGAAGAGCCTGAGGCCAAGGGGGGCCTCAGTTGGCCAGTTGAGCCAGAAAGTCACTTGTCCCTCAGGGCAGCCAGGACCGAGTGAGAGAGTGGTGGGACAGGACTGGTCTACCTTCCCCCATGTCTGAGCACACTGCTCCAAGTCTATGTCCTTCTAAGCTAGGAGGGGGTAAATTTCCACCATGACTGTCTTTATCCTTACAGGCAGCTAGGGTAGGTGTTTGGACCCTACCCAGTGCAATGGGGACCTTGGGGCCTTTGTTATTTGTATTAAAATACAAATGGTCTGGTTTGGACTCCTTTACCAGCCAGGAAGAGAGAGACAGGGAGCACCCCTGTGTGCCAGGCTCTTACGAGGAGCCTGGATATAAAGACTAAGGCACAAGCCATCCTTTTAAAATCCTCAGAGTCTGGTCTGAGAAATAGAACAGAAGGATTTAATGTCATAAGTATGTGTGATCATTGAGCGAAAGTCAGTGTCGAGCATACTAGGTAGCCAAATCTTGATTGAATTGCAAGTACCTCATGTTTCTGGAAGTTTCAGAGGAGAGGGAACCCCTGTGCTGGTCCTTGGAGGCTGATTAGGAATTGCCAAGCCAGGTGGAGGAAGATGGGAAGGGCAGCCAGGCAGAGGGAACAGCCCTGCAGAGGTACAGAAGGAAGAGAGCCCATGGCTGGGGGTGCCACCTGTGGGGGTGGGGTGTTGCCAGGTACCAGAGGCAGCAATGAGTCCTGAAAGACCAGTTCTTGAGGGGCCTTGCTAATCTCAGTCAAGCCCCTTTGAAGGGTTTTCAGCTGGGAAGAAGCAGACTGCATGAGCTAATCTCCAGAGCCCTCCTTGTGCTTGCATTCTGGAATGTTCCATTTGTGACTGCTGGAAGCTGTTGGCTGGGGGGAGCTTTGGGAGCCAGCAGCCAAGCCTCATCGCAGCTAACCGGTGGCATTGTCTCTCCCCTTTGATGCTTCTCCTGGGTGGGCAGGACCCACTGCGGGAACATGCTGCAGCCCTACCTGAAGGACAACAGCGGCAGCCACGGCTCGCCCACCAGCGGCATGCTGCACGGGGTCTTCTTCAGCTGCAACACCGAGTTCAACACCGGCCAGCCCCCACAGGACTCCCCCTATGGCCGCTGGCGCTTCCAGATCCCCGCCCAGCGCCTCTTCAACCCCAGCACCAACCTCTACTTTGCGGACTTCTACTGTATGTACACAGCCTACCACTACGCCATACTGGTGCTGGCACCCAAGGGCTCCCTGGGGGACCGCTTCTGCCGCGACCGCCTGCCCCTCTTGGACATTGCCTGCAACAAGTTCCTGACCTGCAGCGTGGAGGACGGGGAGCTGGTCTTCCGTCACGCCCAGGACCTCATCCTGGAGATCATCTACACCGAGCCTGTTGACCTGTCCCTGGGTACCCTGGGGGAGATCAGCGGGCACCAGCTCATGAGTCTGTCCACTGCCGACGCCAAGAAAGACCCCAGCTGTAAGACCTGCAACATCAGTGTGGGCCGCTAGGGACTCCCGGGGGGCTGAGGGGCTGGGGAGAGGTGACGGGAGGGTGGAGGTGGGTGGCACAGGCTCAGGGAGCTGGCTTTTTCTCCCTGCCCCCCTGCTCCCTCGGCTCCATCCACTAGCCCCTCCCCCACCCCTTGGCATCGGAGGCAACGATGGTGGTCCTCTGGGTAAGCGTGGCCCACCCCAGGCCTGGTGTTCTCGGGAAGGCTTCTCAGCCTCGGGAGGCCAGTGGGTGGTTTGGATTTCTGGAGAACTCCCCCTTTGCTCTCGTTTCCCATTCTGGCTCTTTGCCTTATCCAGGCCTCCACCTCCCAGGGTCCTGCCCGCCTCCCAGGCTCTCCTGGGGAAGCATCTCTGGGGAAGCAAGCCCATGTGTAGCTTGGCCGCCTCCAGGGAGATGCAGAGAGATGTGGGGCACCTCCTTCTTAGCCCCCCCACTCAGGGCCACCCCAGAAAGCCCCCTTCTTACTGAACTGGGCCTGGGGGCTTACCGTCCAGGCCAGCCCTCTCCCTCCTTCCTATAAGTAGCCGCCTGCACCGCTGTCACACCCTAGCTGCTCCTTGCCCCAAATAACCCTCTTCCTGCATGGGAGAGCTGTCCTTCCCCTCCTCCACCTCCCACTCGTATGTCCTCGACGCTCCAGAAAGGGGCCCTCTTTCTTCTCCTGGCTTTGGGGGCTCGGGGCTGTTGGGATTTTCCTTTCTTCTGTGTGGAGATGGCACATTCCCCAGCAAACCTTCTGTCTTGCTCAGAGAAAACGCTGGGGTCTGGAACAGCAGCTGCCAGGGTCGAGGAGGGGGGAACAGACCCCTGAGACCCTTTTCCCAGCCAGAAGCAGGCTGCCCCATGCCTTAGTGGGGCTTGACATGGGACTGAAGAACTGAAGGTCGCCTGCAGCGCCCTGGCACCCCAGCTGGCTGTGCGCTTCACTCGCTCGCTCTGCCATGGTGCTGTGACTGTCCTGTGCCTGTGTGTGACCCAGGCTGTGGGCCACTCCGCCTCACAAGCCACCTCCTGTCCTGTCTGCTTTCCTGGCCACTTCTCCAGGACGTTGTGGTGAGGCCCCCCTGGGCTCCCTGCGTTCTCCCCAGTTCCTGCTGTTGTATGGGGCATGGGGTGGAGAGGTGGACTCCCCATGACAAGCAAAACATTGGGGAAAAGGGGAGGTTCTGGCGGAGACATGGACAACAGCCTCAGTGACTCTTGCAGAGGTGACGGGGACATGGATGAACAGCTTGATTTCTGCAATGAAGAACAGAGGGGCCGACAGGCCAACAAGGCCATACCTCAGTGAGGGGCAGGTGGATGGCCAGCTGCTGGGGAGTGCTGCAGTCAGCTCCCTCCTTGGGGCGGGTCAGGAGCTCTGGGGCCTCTGGGAAATGTGTGGAGAAGGAGAGGACATGGGACCCCAGGCCCTTTCCCCTGTGCTGACAGCATTGCTGTGGGGGTGGCCTGCTGCCCTCCCCTGGCTCCGTGTCCTTCCTGGACGCCTGTGCTGTGCTTGCGATGTGCATCAATAAACCACCATGGCCACAGGGCCCCGCCTGTCTTAATCCTTAATCCGTTCAGGCTGCCATATAGAAGGACCAGAGACCAGGCGGCTTAGAGACAACAGACATTTTCCTTTCGCACTTCTGGAGACAGAAGAGTCCGTGATCTAGTCACCAGCAGGTTGGGAGCTGGTGAGGGCTGTGCTCTGGGGCACAGACAGCTATCTTCCCACCTTATCCGGCCGGGGTGGGAGGGGCGAGCAAGCTCTTCAGCCTCTTCTATAAGGGTGCTAATCCTATGCATGCGGCCCCACCCTGAGCCCCACTTCCTGATACCATCACCTGGGGTACGGAGAGCACAGGTGCCTCTCTTGGGCCCTGGGGTGGGTGGGGAGGAGAGGGTGAACTGCACTCTCTACAGAGGAGCTCAAATGGGGATGCCCCCCACTCCGCCTACCAGGACAGGCCACTGGAGTTTGTGCCAAGGGTAAACCCAATGCTCCTGTAGGCAGCAGGGTTCAGAATGCATGGCCACATTTCCAGTTTGGAAGGGACCTTGGAGGTCTTCTGGGTCCACCCTGTGCTTCCCCAGGGACACTGGGGCCTCTTAGAGGAAGACCTGTGGTCATCTGGAGGCCTCGCCAAGGTCCCTGGGCTTTGGGGCCCCCACTGAAGCCCTTGAGGCTGCTGCAGCCTGCCATGCCACTAGATTTCCCTCTCCTGAGAGTAGGGGTGTCCCCTCCCCCGCCGGCAGGGCTCTGCAGATCTGAGTCACCTCTGCGTCTATTATTATGGACTTATTAAAATGGTCCTGGCTGAGAGGAGCCGATCCAGAAAGGTCAGAGAGGCATCTCACCAACACTGCCTGAGTCAGGGCCAGGTTCACATGTGTCATCGGGCCTTGGACCACGGTCTCTTTGGGATAGGAAGGAAGGCTGAAGGACAGGCAGCTGCTTCCTGAGGCCCAGGGCGGGCTGGCAGGGGAGGGGCCATGTCGCACATCAGCCCTGTTAGTCCACACAATGGCCCTGGACAATGCCATTCCTACTTAACAGATGAAGAGACTAAGACACAGGAAATTAAAAGGGATGCCTGTGTCGTGCACCCATAGGTCACAGTGCCCAGGATTTGATGCAGAAACCTGAATCTTCCCATTTTACTGTCCTGGGCCTGCCTCCCTCGTGAATGTCAGGAGGCCCCTTGGACAGTAATATGCAGGTGGGGTGGTCTCAGCCGCGTGGCCCTCAGGTTCCCTCCACACCTCTGCCAGCTAACCAAGGCTGTGCTAGCTACAGAAAAACTCCAGGGGGTGCTGTGGAGTCACGAATGCTTTGGAGGCTTATTTTTAAAGACAGTGGGCGGCACTTTAGCCTAGGATTCCAAGGTTGGGGAGAGACTCCGGGGTGCACCCTCCTGCCTCGGGACAGATCTTGGTGCTCAGATTTCTCCAGAGGCTCTGGGTTCAGTCTTCCTTTGGAGAGCCCTTTGGGTTTCTTAGGAGGTGGATAGGCTTGCAGAGTCCTCTTAGTGGGGCACAAGGGCAGCGGGGGAGGTGAAAGGCCCCGTGCAGTTTCTTCCAGAGGCTATTTCCACTTCCTTTGTCCAGATGGCCACTCCCCAGCACAAGGCCAGCCTCGGGCTGCTTGAAGTACCTGTCAGATGGAGCAGGGTCAGGACATCTGCCAGAGTCTGCCCTGGGCTCCGTTCTGACCAGAGGACTATCTAATCTGACCCATAGAAGGAGGAAGGTCTCCGTGTGAGGCACGCGCGTGCACACACACACACACACACACACACACACACACACACACACAGACTCCCTTGGCCGGGCTGAGAGGAAACCCAGGAGGCCCCAGAGGGTGCCCACGTGAGGGCTCCCCCTGGACCCTGGCTGTCTCCCATGCAGGCAGCGGGGGACATGCCGTGGCCAGAAAGCAGGTAACAGGTGGGGTGTTCTGCTGAGCAGCACAAACACACGGACACCCCCAACAAAAACACGTGGACGCACACAGGTGGCCCCCAACACACAGCTCCCACGTTCCCCTCTGCCCAGACGTGTGCCCACTTCCCTGCTGGCTCTTCCCTCCCAGGCCAGCCTCGCTCCTCTCAGTCCAGGTGGGTAAAAGCCCACGCCTTCCACAGAGCAGAAGGAAGGAGGGGGCCAGCTAGAGTCCCTCGTGGGAGGTGTCTCTTCTTCCTGGTGGGAAAAGAGGTGGCTGGGGTCTCAGGAAAGGGATGAGGAGGGACCATCCCCCGAAATGGAGGGACGCCTTCCGGAAGCCCAGCTGAGGTGATCGGCTGTAAAATGGCGTGGCTGCAGCATCTGGAGGAGATTGGAACCAGATGTCCTGGTGGGGGAGGGGAGGAGTGGGGCAGAAGCAGCAGCTCTGGTTGGCAGGAGTCTGGGTCGGGGGTCTTGGGGGTCTCTGGGGAGAACATCTGGCTGCCCTCTTCCCAGCACTCCGAGTCCATCACGTGTATTTTTTGCAAACTGGAGCAGCAAAGCTTTTCAAGGATTCTAGAATCAGCCTCGTTCGCAGGGACAGTCAAGTACAGGGTGTGACACCCAAGGTGCCCAAAAAGGCTACCAGCTGGCCAGAAATCTGTCCCTGCTGCCCCACAAGCCCCTCCTTGCTGTGGGTGAAGCATTGCCCCCCTGGCAGGGGTAGCCATGCACTGAGCCCCAAGGCCAGTGTGCCCAGAGAGTTCCTCTAACCTAGGAGAACTGCAGCCCTGAAATGAGAAAGCTCTCAGAGAGGAAAGGAAAGTAGGTTCACTTAGGAGGAGTCTGCTATTTGTCAGGTGCAGCAGCAGTTTTCTCTTCAAAGTTCGCCTTGTTCCATCCTCATAACTGGGTCAAGTGTTATCATCCCAGGTTTACAGATGAAAAAAAAACAGGCTCAGAGAAGTTAAGTGACATATTCAAGGTCACACAGCCACCCAGTGTAGAGCTAGGGTTCACAGTGGGCTATGTTTGCTCTCATGCTTGGGACCTTTTTACTCCTGAGAGGTAGGTGGGTGGGTGGCGGCAAAAATGAACAGCACTAGGGAGTGAGGAGTAAGCTCCCAACTTTCCTGATTTGACAGTCAAGCCAGGGGTGGGCCCTGGAAGCCTGGACACCTCTCCCAAGGGTATTAGCCACTTCGACAATCTGGACCCCTACATTCTAGCTGCGTTGGAGCCTAGACATTGGGGTTTCTCTTCCGCCTCTGACTATGGCAGGAAGCGCACTGGGATTGGCTACAGGTTTAGGGAGAAGAGGCCTAGGGAGGGGGGCACTTGGCCAGTGTCACAGAGCTAAGTGCAGCAGAGCCAGGTCTCCCGACTGCCAACCTGAGCTGTCCTCTGTGCCAAGGGCTAGAGAGGTGGTCCTAGAGAGAGGAGTCTGGGAGCTCTGGGCGTGCTTATCTCTGTCTGGTTTAAGGCCAGGAGTCAGAGTCGGGGCAGCTCCAGCATGGCTCTTCCACAGCTAGCTATGCACTGGGGACAGCGGGACCCCAGGGGGACAGGGGAATGGTTGGAGTCGTCACTGAATCTCCCTTAACCTTGGCTCTCCCAAGCTGCACTGCGGTTGGCCTCATCCAGAGCCCTGACGCAGCCAGGAGGTAAGGGTAGGCTGACTCTGGAGAGCTCGATACTTTCCTGAATTCTGTAGAGTCTCCCAGCCTGCAGCCTCCTGAATGGCTCCCAACGCCCGAGGAGAGCTCTGTTCCACACCTGCTTCCTCCCTGCCCTCCTCTCCTCCTCCCTCCATCAAAGACTGCCCATCGCCCTGATTACGAGCATGTGGAGTGGACATCTGACCATCCAGACGGGCCTGTCCCCCTGCTTCTTGGTTGACTGTGACAGAGAACCTTAAACTGCTATTAAGGACCTACTCAGTGGCCTTCAAGATCTGGGGCCACTATTGGGGTGGTTTTGGACCCACGCTGCAGTTCAGGACCTCTACATAAGCCCCCCGCAGAGCTTCTGTTTGGCGTGGGTCTCCCGGATGCGCTGCACCTTTTACTACTGGTACTGAACCTCCCCCACTGGGCCCGCCCTGGACCTGGGGTGCTGTAGCCACTGGCTGCCTCTGAAGGTGGGCCTGGTGAGGGCCAGGAGGCTCATTCCTGAGAAGCCTGAGTCCACTTGGGTGCTGGAGTCTTGGACATAAGCCTGGCGAGGAGCCTGATTGCGGTAGGGGGCTGGGTCCATCTCTGTGGACTGCAGCCCCGCTGTCAGGACAGGGTTATGATCTTGGCTCCTTTGGGCATATGGCTTTTGAGCAGGGACTGTGGCCAATGACTGTAAGTTCTGTTAAGGAGCAGCCAGTGCCAAGCTGGTGGACAGTGTCTGGGTAGCACGGCCAGGAGGCTCCCACTGCCGAGGACTTCTATCCTGGTCATGGTCCTCCAGGCTGTCCTGAGCAACCCTATCAGAGAAGGGAGCAAGAGGCGGCTGTGATATCGTCACTGGGACTTCACTGCTGCTGCAATGAGCAGTACCCTTCTGGGCCTCTCCCTCCCCTTTGCAGGGCTGCAAGATCCTACCTGAGGCCAAGCTGGGAGGAGAGGGTCCCAGACTGGCTGGCTTCCGGGAAGATGAGGCAGTGGGTGTACCTTCTGCTTCCCACCACTGCTTCCTACTTAAAGGGCCAACACGGGGTCTACTGTGCTGCACTGCTCCCTGGTGGGGGCGATCCCCAGAGTCTAGACACATCTGGCACAGCATCTGCCCCTGTGACAGGGAGGAGCCTCAGGGTAGTGCGAGATTCACCATCCACTGAAGGCTCTCTGGGAGCCTGGGCTGGACAGGCTGTCTGACGCTCTCCAGAGTCTAAACGTGGCCAGCCCAGGCAGGAGAGCAGGTTCCCTCTGTCCTCTTTCTGCTTTATTTCCCTGAGAGCAGGGAGAGAAGGGGGAGGAGAGCCCCCTTGGAAGGGGAGGAGAGCCCCCTTGGAAGGGGGGGAGCAGGGCTGTGGATTCTCTCCTGGCCTCTGGGAGGCACAGGTCTGGGCCTCACAGCTGGCTGGAGAGAGGGCAATGGCAGGAAGGAGGGGCTGGAT